CTCTGATGAAATCAGGCTGGTCTGGGCCATCCATGTCAGGGCAATGGGATTACACTCAACAGCAATGAGAATTACTTCCTTTTACTGGATTTTTTACCTTGTAATCCACTTTTCTGTGTTGTTTATAGTATACCTTTGCCTTAGTTTCTCATTTACATTGTTCTCTAATCCTAGTCCCGTTGTATTGTTTGTTGGTTACATAAGAACATAAGAGAAGCGATGTTGGATCAGGCCAATGGCCCATCCAGTCCAACACTCTGTGTCACACAGTGGCCAAAAATACCAGGTGCCATCAGGAGGTCCACCAGTGGGGCCAGAGCTCCAGAAGCCCTCCCACTGTTGCCCCCCCAAGCACCAAGAATACAGAGCATCACTGTCCCAGGCAGAGTGTTCCCTCTATACCTTGTGGCTAATCCCCTCTTGAAGCTGTCTACCTTTGTAGCTGTCACCACATCCTGTGGCAGTGATTTCCACGTGTCAATGACTCTTTGGGTGAAGAAGGACTTTCTTTTATCTGTTCTAAGCCTACTGCTCATCAATTTGTGTGCCCACAAGTTCTTGTATGGTGAGAAAGGGAGAATAGTGCTTCTTATGTTGTCTGATTGCATTGTTTTGTACCCTGTAATCTGCCTTGAGTCTCAGTGAAAGAGGCAAACTATTAAAAAAAAAAATAGACTTTGATCCATTGGACAGGGCCGCCCCCCCCCCAGCATCGTAGCCATGATGATGCAGGCAGAGCTCGAAGCAAGACCTCTCTGAGGACGATTCTGCATTGGCTTTTTCTTCTGTTGTTTTACCAAACCTACCTTGGAACAGAAATTCCCCTCTGCGTTCGATACCTTATGCATTGATTTACGGCCAGTTTGGTGTCGTGGTTAAGTGTGCGGAGTCTAATCTGGGAGAACCAGGTTTGATTCCCCACTCCTCCACTTGCAGCTGCTGGATGACCTTGGGTAAGCCATAGTTCTCTCAGAACTGTTCTCTCAAGGGCAGTTCTGGAAAGAGCTTTCTCAGCCCCGCCTACCTCACAGGGTGTCTGTTGTGGGGAGGGGAAGGGAGGGGAGTTTGTAAGCCGCTCTGAGACTCCGAGTGAAGGGTGGGGTATAAATCCAATCTTCTCCTCTTCTTCTTCTTCTGGTAACTTTACAGTCAGTAGGACGTTGGCCCGGGGTATTTGAATGTGGTTTTGTGCTGGACCTTTCCCTCAGTGTTGAGAAAATGTGGAGCGAATGTCAGATGCAGCGTGGCCCTGAGACTCATACTGGATCCTCCTTTCTTTGGGTGAGCCTGTGTTTCATAGCCATGCAGAAAGTTCAGAGAATTTTTATCAGGTGTTGGAAACCTGGAGAGGCCAGGGAATGAAACCATTCTCTTCTTCCTCCTCCCTTTCCACCTTGATCTGGTCCATCACTCTGTTCTTCTTCTAAGTGCTGATGGGGTTCAGAGGGTGAGCTGTAAACTAGGAATCCCCCCCCTACTCCCGTTCAAATCTCAGCCATACCATATACCAGTGGTCACCCACATGGGCACATGAAGAAGAAGAAGATTGGATTTATACCCCGCCCTTCACTACCCAAAGGTGTCTCAGAGCAGCTTACAAACTCCATTCCCTTCCCCTCCCCACAACAGGTACCCTGTGAGGTAGGTGGGGCTGAGAGAGCTCTGACAGAAAAGCTCTTATCAGAACTATGGCTTGCCCAAGGTCATCCAGCGGGTGCAAATGGAGGAGTGGGGAATCAAACCCGGTTCTCCCAGATTAGAGTCCCACTGACACCTTTCCTAGCATCTACCAAGTGTTTTTAGAAAGTGGGCGGGGCCAGTTGGGGCTGTTGCCCAACAGACTTGATTGACGGTGTGGATTCTAAAAAGGGCTCCTTCTGGCAGCAGCTTCCACCACGGCACAAGGATCTTCACTGTGTGACTGCAGGTAAGCTGTGGCAGCTATTCTGTGGCCCATGCGGCAGCTGTTTTGTGGCTACCCCCACCATGCCATGCCAGAATTCCACAGGTGCCTGCAGGCTTAAAAGGGGTGGGGGCACCAGTTAGGCCCTGCTCTTGTCATTCAGCGTCTGAAATCACCCTACTCTCCAATTATAAAGACAGATGGACTCACATTCTAGCTGTATCTGAAGAAGTGAGCAGTGACTCACAAAAGCTCCTCCCCTGCCAAAATTTTGTAGTCTTTAAGGTACCCCCCTGAATAGCCCAGGCTAGCCCGCTTTTGTCAGATCTCGGAAGCTAAGCAGGGTCGGCCCTGGCTAGTATTTGGATGGGCGACCTCCAAGGAATACCAGGGTCGTGATGCAGAGGCGGGCAATGGCAAAACTACCTGGAACGTCTCTTGCCTTAGAAACAAAGTCTAGCTCGGCATGGAGTGGTGCATAACGCTTAAAAGAGCGAGAACTTGTGGCATCCAGACAACCTTAGGATCTCCTGGCTATACTACACACACTGCCATATGATAATTATTAATTATTATTATTAGTCTTTAAGGTGCTACTGGACTCTTGCTCTTTGGTGTAGTGATTAGGAGCCAGTTTGGTGCAGCGGTTAGAAGCACGGACTCTAATCTGGGAGAACCGGGTTTGATTCCCCACTCCTCCACATGCAGCTGCTGGTGTGACCTTAGGTCAGTCACAAGTTCTCTCAGAGCTGTTCTCTCACGAGGCATTCTTGAAAGAGCTCTCTTGGCTCCACCTACCTCACAGGGTGTCTGTCGTGGGGAGGGGAAGGGAAAGGAGATTGTAAGCTGCTCTGAGACTCCAAGTGAAGGGTGGGGTATAAATCCGATCTCTTATTTTCTCTCTGTCTAGAACATTTTTATCCTGCCCGTCCTCCTTTCTGCATTTCCAACACAAGTGAGGCTGCCTCAAGCCCATAGCTACAGTGGGGCATCTTGGGGCCTGGCCCCCCAACTTTACCACCAAGCCCCCAACTTCCCATTCAGCCCAGGCCACCTGACTTCCATTGTGATGTTCAGTTGGGGTGGGGGGATGCGCGGGGTGCCCCACGACTTATTTAAAGGCCCCCCAAATTAAAAAATCCTGGCTACGGGCCTGGGCTGCCTGAGAGCGACTGGCCCAAGGTTACCCAATGAGCTTCATGGCCTCATGGGGAGGGTGGGATTTGAACTCAAGCCTCCTGTATCCTAGTCTGACCCACTAACGATTACACCGCTTTTCGACGCTTGGAGAGGCTGTTGATAACCAGACAGGCCTGCCTCACAGGGTTGTCGTAAGGGGTTGGAGAGACACCACAGAGCGCTTCACATCCTTCAGAAGTATCACGACTGTTTCCATTGACTGTTCAAAAACAAATAAGCAAAGCCAGCCTCAACAGCAGCCAAGAGAAGAGTGTGTGTGCGCGCCACTCTCTGAAACAGCCTTTTTTCTCTCCATAGGTCTCCCTTCCCACCGTATAAAAGCAGGATAATGGGATTTCTGCATGTCTGAAAGGGGAAAAAAAGAGGTCGATAGACCTTTTGGATTTTTGCAAAGAATCTCATGCAAACACCACTATGGACAAGGGGGGGAGGGAAGGCACAGATTGCTGCGGCTTCTGACTTTTTTATGCGGGGAGGGGGTGTGTGCAAAGTTTTTTTTTTGGGGGGGAGGGGAGCTTTGACTCCCCCCCCTCCTTTGCTTTCAGCTTATCCTCCTCTTCTCCCCTCCCGCCCCCAGCTCCCCAGTCTGGTCTGCTACCGACTCGAGGAGAGACACCCACATGGCAGAGAAAGGTGGGGCCAAGCCGGGCTCGCCGGCCAACCAACCTTGAGCCCCGGGGCCCCGCCCCCCTGTGCATGGCGGGGACGGGGAGGGGAGGGGGGCAGAG